AATTTTATATGCCAAACTCGTACACCAATTTACACCACTATAATGAAATTTTTATTTTGTTTTGGGGCATATTCTGTGGTTTTTGCATTTGATATGTATAAAATAACCTGAGTACTACAGGTCAATTAATTATAAACTTATTTGTTTAAATTTGTTGCGTTGTAACCTTATTTATTTAATTTAATGTCTAAATTTCTTCAACTTTTATTATTTATATTGTAAGTAAAATTTAAAAATAATCTCTTGTAAACTTATATTTAGATATAACAAAATAGATTAGACGTTATAAATATAGTAAAATTAGGTTGACATTTTTAATCTATTAACCTATTTTAGTATGTGTTATTAAACTCGTTAAGTTATTGAATCAGATTTTAGTCTAATTGATTAATAAAAGAAATTATTTTAATTAAAATATAGTCACATAAATAATATATAAGTGATGAAAATTTTTAGAAATTTTAAATTTCTTTATTATAATTTATGAAAATAGAATAAAAAAGTCTCACTCGTTAAAATAAACAATTTTAGGGAATTTTACTATGATTTAGAATATCATAAAGGTTTATCATGTAAAAATATCACACCATTTCCTAAAATTTGACATTACCTATATTTATTTATTGTTATATAAATTTTATCTTGATTTTTTTAAATTTTAATTTCTTAATATAATATCCAAAAATATATTATTAACATGAAATATATAAATTGTTGACAAATAAACATTGATTTTATTAAAAAATATTTTTAAGAAATATGATGAGCTTATTTATTAGTCCATCAATTTTGGCAAGATAGATTAAAGTTTATAATTTATTTTAATTATAATGCGTAACTCCACCTTATCTAATTTTTTAGGTCAAAATGAAATGAATCAACTCATTTTAACATTCTTACATATATACATAAGTGATATGAGTTAAACTTATTCTAATTCATTACTCAAAAATTTTATTATATATGATTAATATTTTCTTATTTATTTTTATAATAACGTTTTTTATTATATATACATATTGGTTATTTAATATCTTCATCGTCAATCAATTAAAAAAATTTCTCTTCATCATTTAATTCTATGAATATTTAAAAAATATAAAAAATCATAATATATATATATATATATATATATATATATATATATATATGATCAATAAAACTAATATTTTATTTAACAAATATGAGTAGTTACTACTTGTAATTATAATCTTTATTTTAGGACGTATAGTCAAGGTTTTAATGTTTAAATATATGAATATAGAAAATAATTTGTTAGAATAAGTAAATTTATTTAATAGATATTTGTATTTGAGTGATTAGTCTATTACTCTTTAAAAGATGCCTCGACACCACACACAAACTGAATTGAAACACATGAATCTTGAGGTTTAAAAAAATCACTTTCCATTTAAATAATAAAGAGTTACATGGAGATAGAGAAACAAAGATAGATGATGCTTGGTATAAAAAAACGTTCAATTAATTATAGTTTTCGTCGTTGAAGGTCTTTTAAAGAATCGCAATGTTTCTATAATATAAGAGGTTTTGCGCATATGTTCTTAATTTGTTATTTATTTTCTAATATTCTCATTCATATTTTCCCTAATTTTATGGAATTTATGATTTGTGTCAATTAATTCAAACGCAAAGATGAATCAAAGCTTAATATTTTCCCTTTTTTTCAATACAAATACTTTTTTAACTTAATTGAATTTTTCTTTAATTTCGAAGAGTATAAAAAACATGGTTTCAAGTCAGAGAAAAAAAACTTGGATTATTTTAATGATAATTTAATCCAAACAAGTTTTTCTATGGATAAAATTATTGTAAAAATGATTTAATTATTTTTAACATAATAAATAATAATCACTATTTTAAAATCTGGACCCCACGGGTTAATTCAACCAGTCTAATTAGGAACTAATTTAGAAATAGGTACCTTGTCTCTAAATATTCGAATTTTAATTAAATTAGAATAAAATTAAAAAAAAACAAGTTAAATTTTGGGTAAAAAATAAATTTAAAAATCAATTTTTTTAATAAAAGATACAATATATTTTAGTTTTTTTTTCTTATTTTCATCTTATATTAATTATATCAATTTTAAATAAATTATTTTATCATATATTTATTTTATTTTAATAATTATTCATTTTAAACTCTTTAATATATTTTATATTTATAATTTATAAAAATAAAATTTATTATATTTTTATAAAAAAAATTATTATTAATATATTTATCATATTATAAAAATATTATTTTATTAAATTTGATTAATCTCATTAACTCTTTATCTCCTAGATATATTTTACTTAGTTTAGTGACTAGTCTAATTTTAAAAATATTAATAATAAGTTGATAATTTTCTTTTAATATTAATTTTCATAAAGCTTAATACATAAAATCCGTGTAATATAATTATTCAACTATTTAATTGATTAAAGTTATATTATATATAAGTTACTAATTCTATACAAAGTTACATGAGTATACAATTTGGACTAATACAATTTGGGCCTTATCATGAGGTGTTATTTTTTCAGGCTTAAAAAGGAGGATTTTTTTTTTTCTACACTCATATTTTCTTCTTATACTCCGAAATAACAATATTATCTTTAATATGAACAGGTTCAGGAAAACTCACTCTAAAAGTATTTTGGAGGGTACTATCTGAAATCAACTTTTTGAAAATATTTTAGAAAATTTATTTTAAAAATTATTTAGAAAGGTCAATATAAAAAAAATTGGCAAAAATTGATTTTAATGTATTTCGTACTTAACAATCTATAACATTTTTCTAGATTATATTTTATAAAGGTGTATTTCAAATTCAACAATTTAGAACACCATATATGCAAATTAAATATATTTTCTTATAAAATTTTTGGATATATAATATGTTATATTATTTAAAACTTAAATCACTAACAAATTTCTAATTTTAAAGTAACAATATGCTTAAATAAAGGTAACAAATAAAAATGCAACTAAGGTGGAAGGGAAAAACTAATTTAATGATATTTTTTAAATTTTACATAGGTAGTAGAAAAAAAAATTATTGAGATGTAGTAAGAAGCATCCAAACCAAAGCCTTTCATTAATTTTTTTTTTTTAGATTTTTCACATAAGTCTATACCTATTTTGAGAGTCTAATTAAACATCTTTTTATCTATAAGTTCTCATTATATTTATATTTGATTTCATTAAATAGCTTATATTTTCACTGTTTTTTTCATTTATTTTTCTCTTCTAAACTTGTTCTCCTTATTTTATTAAACAAAACCTAAAAGTCAATCCAAATAACCATTAGAGATTTTAAAAGATAATTAATGAACACAATTAAAGCATAAACTAATGGTGTGTCCTTAAGGGCAAGTTAATATAAATAGAGCAATCAATCAAAATCAAGAACATGCATGAATTGGAATTGGTCTCATTTAATGCAGGCCCAAGGCTGTGTCCAGATTGGTTGATGATGGAACAAAAAATGAGGATGATAAAGAGATATGACTGATGCAAGTTGGTATCTTTGATCATTCCAAGTACAATGTCAGCAGTTCCAAGCCTGAAATGAATTCATCACCCACAACACAAAGGCCCCCCCCTGGGTAGGACCCTCATTCCTTCACATAAAAAAGAATGTTACCTTTTTTCTACAATCAATTACCAACTTTTCACAAAACTAAATCCCAATTTATTTGTATTTTTATAGTATTCTAATGCAAGATTTTATATGTATGTATACAAATGTTAATTATAGTGTAAAACTTATTTAATTAAAGTTTATAATAAGATAAAGTTTTAGATTTATGGTGTGTTTTGAAGGAAAGAAAAGAGGGACTACAAGAAAAACTCTATTTTTATTTTTTCATTTTTTTCCCCTTTTACTTTTTACCAAACAAAAGGTATTAAATTTCACTATTGCTTTTGAAAGAAAAACCAAAAAAAGGTGCTATTTTTTTTTAACAGTTGTAACTGTGCTGAAAATTTTAGAATCTTCATCATGCATAATTGAGAATAGTTTGATTAGACATTCTTAGACCCTAATAATATTGTGCCCCAAAATATGTTGGGTGGTATTGTACTTAATTACTGTCTATGGCCCTACAGGAATGTCATTGATGCCGGTAAAACATTATTAATAAAAAAAAATAAAATAAACTATCAAAATAAAATGGATTAACTAATTAAAAGAAAAAAATTAAGGGTTGCAATAATTAAAAAAAAGTAATATAAATTGAGACAAATTTAATAGTACTATAAATTAATTGATTTTTTAATAGGTGTAAATGCAGCATTGATCTTTCCTCTTATAAAAACAATTTAAAAATAATTTTTGTGTGCTCACAGAACACTTTCATGTGGAACGATGAATTCGCAAGCCATTTTGGACTTTGGTGCCATTCAGCTAAGATCAAATTACCCACGACCAATAGCAGGAATTTCTTGATCACCCAAAAATTCTTGGTTTCAGTTCTTAAGCAGGAACAAAAAAAGCATCGATATTATCACAGTCACAAGGCAGAAGAGCCACTTGCAAAACCATAATCACAAGAAAAAAGTAAAATAAAATAATAAGGGACTGAATAGAAAAATTAAAATAATTTGCACTAGGATTTTACTACTAATTATCATCTCAGTTTTGAAGCCAATTATCAGTTTTTCATACATTCCTTCCCCAGTTCTCTGTACTAGAAAAAAAAAAAAGATTTTGAAGCCAGTTATTAATGTTTCTTCACCATTGCCCAATTTTTGGACACCCTTTTATTAAAAGTTTAAAACTTTTCCATCTTAGCAATTGAAGATTGATCCATGTTTGAAAAGGATTATGAACCACCGATTTGAGAAGAAACCATGATAAAAAAAGAAAAGACTTTATGGACAATTTTGCAGCAAACAATTGCTTCTGAATATGAGAAAATATGCAAAACAAAGTGAAAAAAAAAAAGTAGAATTAGAAAAAGAAAAAACCCGATGATAATTGAGTATTGTCTCTATTTTTTCTCCTCCTTCTTCTCTTCCTTCTTCTCCTCCTTCTTTTCCTCTTTCTTCTCTTCCTTCTTCTCTTCCTTTTTTTCTTCCTTTTTCTCCTCTTTCTTTTCTTCTTTCTTCTCTTCTTTTGCAGGTCCAACAGATATTATATCCACTTTACCTACTTTCTTCAGCTTCTTCACTATTTTCACTGTGTCCATTTGACCAACCACTGTCAACTTCTGCTCTTTAACATCGGCAACAATTGAATCAACCCCTGTGGATCAAACCACCAAAAATCAAACAGATCAACGAATATTCCCTCACATCAACATGAATTCAAGGTAGAAAATTTGGTTTTGATTTTCTCAAACCACCCACCATAGATATCAGCAGCTGCTTCAATAGCCTTTTGCTTGGTTTTGTCATCAGTCATAGTCAAAACCTTTAACACAACCTTCTGTTGTGGATCCAGAGAAGGGTAACATGCATAAGAAGAAAGAAAAAAAATATTAAGTATTGGACATTTCTATGAATCATATACATATGTAAGTACATAAACAATAAGAATGTAACAGAACAAGCATAAGGAATCCAAGGAAAGAAGAAGGGATGTTTATAGATCATGAGATGAAAATTGGTACCTGAGCCATTTGAAGAGGTGTGAAAAGAAGAGTGAGAGAAGGGGTTTGAGGAGATTGAGGAGCATGTACTATATAAGGGTAAAGGTGTGAGGTTTTGGAGTTGTTTCTTTTTATTTGTGCTTGTGACTGTGGAAGTCACATCCAACAGATGGACCCTCCAAATTCACATTTCTTGCCGCATATATGGTGCAATTTGACAGCACACAGGACAAATTTTTGAGAGTTTTAGGCATGGTGATCACATTCTGTGCCATTTGGTGTTTTCTAAGTCTTTTTCTTTCTCATCTTGGTATCTTTTCCTTTGGACTTTGGGAAAACCAAACTTGCATCATTGCACATCAGAATGTGTAGATGCAAAGTGGATCGGAATTTGGAGAGAGATAGAGGAAACCAAGTTCTTGAAAATAAAGTTAAATTGCTACCTTGGCCAGTTGACTGGTCACTTGTTCTAGAGAGATTGTAGTTGCATCACTCTTTTCAGTACACTCTTTTAATAGTAAGAGAATGATTTTTTTTAATGATACGAAGTGAAATATTTATTCAAAATTAATGTGGGTCTAATTTAACCGTTATTATATAATAAAACTTATGTAAATTTCATTTAAATGTAGAATATGGGTTTTATATTATTTTTGTTCAAATTTTGAATATGTTTAATTTAACCTATAGAATGTATAACAAATGGAGTAATTTATTAATATTTGTTTAACTTGATGATTACTATTATTTCTTACGTAGGAAAAGTTATCTTTTTTTCTTCTTTCAATAAAAAAAATAAACAGTAAAATAATGGTGGAATGCAATGCACAATGTGATAAAGTATTTGTAGACTTTGTCGTTTATTTCTTCTTTAATTGAAGCACAAAAGTTTGAATGTTAGTTTAGATATGCGGTAATTGTGTGCAAGATCTAGCTCAGAATTCCATTACGTCTTTTAAAATCAAAACAAAATACAACACTGAAATAAGTAGGTGAAGTTTGATACACGACAAACATTGACATTCAAACACATGCATGGTGTAATATTTTTTTACCAATGGCAGCAATGGGACACCGACAGAAAATTCCTGATGAAGAAAAAAGATGGTGATGATATGAAGAAAAACATTGTGACTTGGTACAAGACATGTTACATGCACATTATTCTTCCTAGATTGTCTGCTCTAGTGGCATATGCTTTTCACAAGGCTCAAACCTTTGAAAAAGAAAGATGTGTTGCTATCGACTATATATGGTGGGACTTAATCAAACATATCCAAACACAAATTATAACTAGGATAGGAGTGATGTCTTTCATATTAAAAAAAACAAATTATCCTTTCGGTTTATTAATTTTTAAATAAAGATTGAGCTCTTACTTCTCTTTTTGTTTTCCTATTATTTGCCCCTACCTCTTCTTGTTCAAGAGGCCCCTCTCAGTTATTTATTTACATTGCAAACTTTGTGGTTGTTGGAGGTGATTTTACTAACCTTTTTTTGTTTTTCCTCTTTTGTTATTTACTAGTCAATGAGGGAGACTGTTAATATATTATGTTAGGTTGAATAATTAAATGGTGTGATTTACTTTTGTTTTAGTTTTTAAAAATAATTTTGATATTAATTTCAAAATCGTTAAGAACTACATCTCCACATTTTTATTATTTTTTCATTGTAAACTTTTAATATATTATGTTAGGTTGAATAATTAAATGGTGTGATTTACTTTTGTTTTAGTTTTCAAAAATTATTTTTGATATTAATTCTAAAATACAAGATTTTGTTTTGATCATTATACCTCTTTTCCTTTTCTTTATGAGTTTTTTCCATGTAGTGTCGATTAACCTTTAGCTCCGATACCACTTGTTTGAGTCTTTTGAGGGGATTCACAAGGGAGAAATATATTAATAAGACATGATGTATCTAGCAAGTGCATCTCGACAAATTTTAGAGTCAATTTTTCATTACTTCAATAAGTTAGTCTTACTATCCACCATAACTCCTACATCAATATGTCATCTTAAATGATGGGTCCTTAAGAACAAATGTGATGACAGTAACATAGGGAAAGAAGATGACCATGATCCTTAAAAGCAAATGTGACGATAACAACAGAGAGAAGAAAATGACAAAAACAAATGAAGATTATGTTTAGAGTTTATTATTCTTTCTAAATTTTATATATATATATATATATATATATATATATATATATATATATATATAACAAAATATATTATCAAATTAATTTATTATACATATATTTTTTAATAAAATAATATTACTTTTATTTTATTGGTAAAATAATCATTATTTTACAAAATCGGTCAATCCATAAGCCTATAGGGTAATCTGACCTAAATAGGTTGAGCCAAAATTTACCTAGTTCTATTAGGTCATAAATTTTTTTTACCTATAATCTAACTTATTTTTCAAGCTGGTCCATTAGACTAAGTCAATTTTGACACTCCTACCTCCTCTTATTGATCAGTCATCAACTATTTTCTCCTCTAAGACAATCTACTCGTATTCGCTAACCGTACACTTACTTTCAAGATTCCCACGATACATTTACATCAACTGGACCATCTTCTTCTCCAAGTATCATTATCCTCTTGAACATTTTCTTTCAAACATGATTGTTGGATTAAAGCTATGCAAGCTGAAATCAATGCTCTCAAAGCAAATAACACTTGGTCTCTCACCACTCTTCCTTCCCATAAAATAGTCATTGAATATATAAGATAAAACCGAATGTTGATGATTCCATTGAGAGATATAAAACTCATCTTGTTGCCAAAGGTTACACCCAAATGGAAGACTTTGAATTTTTTGATACATTATCTCCTGTTGCTAAGCTTACGACCATTCGTCTTGTCCTTGCACTTGCTGTCATTCATCATTGTCACCTCAAGCAATTAGATGCCAAAAATACTTTCCTTCATGGTGATCTTAATAAAGAAATATATATATAACTACCACCAGGCTTGATTGCTTCTCAGCCCGGTCAGGTCTATTGACTCCAACGTTCTCTCTATGACCTTAAGCAGGTCAACAATCAGTGGTTTGCACGACTCTCCTTATTTCTCTTATCCAATGGATACAAACAGTCACCATCTAATCATTCTCTCTTTCTGAAGAAGTTGGGTTACACAATATCATTCTCTTCATTTACGTGGATGAGATTGTTCTAGTAGAAAACAATATTGTAGAAATTACTCACATCTGACTTTGTCTTCAAGATTAAGAACCTCAATGATTTACGATTCTTCTTGTGCTCCAAATTTGCCCGCAACCCTCCTTGCATATCGCTATGTCAACTTAGATATACTCTTGATCTCCTTTCTAATAATGGCTTACTTGCCTCTCGACCAACATCTACACCCATGGATTACTCCAATCATCTATATGCTACCACTAGTACAACACTGCCTGATCCTTTTGTATATTGTTGACTGATTGGACGACTAATTTATCTTATCATTACACCTCCAGACATTGATTTTGCTGACAACACCTTAGTCAATTTGTTTCTCAACCTACAACCTCTCACCGTCAAGTTGTTTTTCATGTTTTATGTTATCAAAAGCAACGTTCAGGTTCTGGCGTTTTTCTCATGGCTTCCAGTACCACTCAACTCAAGGCTTTCAACAGCTCTTATTGGTCTGGGTGCCCTAAATTACGATGTTCTGTTACTGATTTCTCCATTTACCTTGGTAACTCTCTTGTCTCTTGGTGTTCCAAGAAGTAACCAACTGTCTCACACAACTCTTTTAAAGTTGAATACCGCGCTTTAGCTTCCACTACCTGTGAAATTTAGTGACTGACATATTTATTAAATGACACTGGTATTCCTTTCACACGACCAACTTTGATTTATTATGACAACCAATCTATACTTCAAATTACTTCCAACCAAGTCTTCCATGAACGTATCAAATACATTGATATAGACTGTCATATTATCCGATAAAAAGTCACTAATTATTTGATTTAATTGCTACCAATCTCTTCTTCCTCACAAATTGCTAACATCCTCACAAAATCTCTTTTTCTCGCTGTGCTTCAGAATATTTGTTACATGTTGGGCATAACCAATATCCATGCCCAACTTGAGGGGCTTTTAACCGTATCATATGTGTAACAAAATCATATTTTCTGTAACAGAATCACACCTTAACATTTCTTCTATTTTTTATTGTTGTAACCACTTTCTATTATTCTACTTTTTAACTTTATTATTATTATAGATATGTATCATCTCATTCTTCAAAATACAAGATTTTGTTTTGGTCATTACACCTCACTACTTATGTTTCTTTTTCCTTTTCCTTTTTCTACTTTATGAGTTTTTGCATGGCGGTGTACAAGGATTACACCCTGGATAGGATGATGAAGGGAACAATGGTGTTGGTTTATTGGACGTGAAATGTGTAGTGGAAGCAAACCATTTTGATGAAGAAGAAGAGACTAACAACTGAGGTGCTTCCTCTTGGAAAATTCAAATCCGAGCATAAGTCTACCATTAAGTAAAAATGATGAAGTTGAATAATATATAAGAATGAAAAACCTATAACTCAATGTCTTATATAAATTGAATTTATGTTTCATTGGAGTTATTTCTCTTCTATAAATCTTTCCACGAAAGATCCAAGAATAATATATGATTTGTATGGTGATCAACAATTTAAGAGTGATCCTTATATAAATTTTTTTATAACAATAAAACGTACGATACATTACTAATAAATTTGAAAGAGATAATATGAAGAAACCCATAATAAAAGAAAGATTATTAGATAATCTAAAATTTTAGATTAAAGATAATATTAATCCAGTTGAATTCAACTTATAAAATAATTTCTCCTCTATAAATCGTGTTGAAACATCCAATACTTCCATCCACTACCTTCTCTCTTCCTCGTCCTATTTCTCGTAATTGCGTTTGCACACAGAGAGATTCTCATCTTTTTTACCAAACTCACTCCATCGAACATATTTAACCAGTGGTGATGCAAGGACAATGGAGGGTGAAGTGGTTGAATAATTATGGCAGATTCAAATTCAGTGGTTGAAAGTAGAAAATACAGTTAGTTAGTGGGTCAATTTGGCTGAGCCAAAATATTGGAAAGCACAGTACCTTCTAAATGCTTATTTTCTAAATCAAGAATCTCAACATTCAGAAAGAGTTTCTCATGGCCTGCATCAAATAGCAGAGTACAGTGGCATTTGGTACACACCGCCATCATTTAATGAAGGCCTTTCAATATCTCCACTCAACTTTTCAGACTCACAACTCTGTTGCACAGTATTTTCCATTACATCTTCTTGCAACATAATTACAATGTTAATTTAAAACATACAATTAGATTTATATCAAGTTTTATTAATTTTTTATGTAATTTTTCATATTATTTAGTTATTTCATACGTTAAATTAGGAGCATTTTTATATAAATCGAATATTCTAAACCTTATAGTGTTGTGAAGAAGAATTTCGTTTCCCAACATCAGTCATTGAGATGAAGAACTCAATTTTCTTCTCGATAAATAGTATCGAATCTCATTCTAAATTATGTGGAGATAATTATATACTAATAACGATTTTTAATTATCTTGGAAATTTTTGTTTTATTGAGAGTGAAACAGGTTGATTTTGTATGAGATAGTTTTGTTAAAGCACTACTAAGTAAGAGAAAAGATTTTTGAAATGTATTTTCCATCTCTGTTTTTGTTTTTTCTTTATTATATACATACAAACTCTCCACTTATCAAATGAAGCAATTCAATTTTCTATGTTTTTTTCAAATTATCAATGAAGATACTTTTTTACTCCCTTCATATATTTCTTCACATTACTTTTTTGTACGGCCTCATCTTCACTATATATAAATTCATACACAACATCACAAAAGGAAGAAGAAACGCAATGGATGATAAAAAGGTGGCAAAAGACAATACACTCAAGAAAATTGAAAAAAAAAAAACCAATATTAAAACAAACTCTAATTTCCTAAGAGAAAATGCCTCACTCAACTTCTTCTTCTTTTTCTCTTCAAAGAGAAACTGACCTGAAGTGAGGAAAAAGTTATACATGAACCTGGTTTAAGTCAATTACATTATAGTGCAAGCATGGGGGTTATCATCACTGAAGAGAGAAGCAAAGGCTTCATCAGATGCCACAGCAACTGAGTACACTGCAGGGGTGTGGAAGAAAGTATGGACTCCATTGGTTGCTTCACTTTTGTATGCATCATAGTAATGGTTAACAATGTAACTAGGGTACTTGTAAAATGAGGAAAAATGAGCATGCCCTGGAAATGGCCATGGTTCTGCTACTTTCCCTGCACGTTTGATTGCCTTGAGAACCTTCTTTTCCTCCAAGCCATAGCCCCTCACTGTTATTTTTTGAGATTCCATTTCAACTTCTACCTCATCTACCCCTGCAAATCACATTCAAAGTTCAAAAATTAATACATTACACACACAAATATGCAACTAACTCAATCACTTAACAGATAGCTTCAGTTGAGAAAGGATTTGAATTTAATTCTTACTGACATAACACATCTTTGAGAAAAGCAAAACTTTTCAGGTATAACTAAGTTCCCAGTTAGAAAAAAACTAGATTTCTAAGCATGGTGGTTAAAAAAAAGAAAGTAACTCAACTATACGTAACATATGGTAAATGATGACCCAACTTAGATTAAGTAAAAGTTACTTTGTGGTACTTTTTGTTTGCTTTTGGGCATGCTTACTTCCATGCTGAATGAGAGTTCATCTGTTATGTTTATCTTGAGTTCACTTTTTATGATGAAAGAAATGTAATTCTCTTTTGCTCACTACCAAAAGGAAAAAGTTGTACACTTTAAGACATCTTTTATCCATGTGTAACAAAATACACATTACAAAAAGTAACGAAACAATAACTCAGGATGTATAGTTGTATATAACTTGCAAGCTTTCACCTCCAAATAATATTTCTCAGGTAAATAATAAATTAATAAGAAGAATAATGCTGTTTGGTTAAGGTGTGACAGAGGAACCACCTAATTTGTTGGATTGGAAAACAAGGCACGAAGAAATATGGAGCCCAACTAGGAACAGGGAGGTCTACATGGACCCCAGAATAGTATGGTATACCAAATTCTTGACTTATGGTGGTTCTACACGTTGCAAAGCAAAGTGTGATTTTGAAATTTAAGCCCAAAGAAAATGCATAAATAAGCAACACAACTGTTACCCTTCAGTGGCCCATGTGTAACAGCTAAATCCATAGCCTCCAAAAAATGAAAGGGTACCCCCCAGAAAAAAAAAAAAAAAAAAAACAGAATTGCTTATGCAAATAGTACCTTTGAGCTTGAAGAGAGCTTTCTTTAGTTTTGAAGCACATCCTTCACAATCAAGATTTGGAACTCTCACCTCTATCATATTCTGCAAAGAAAAATGCTTGTTAGTATTTTGTTTGTTTGTTTAAGTTTAGTATTTGCCTAATAACATGTAAAGCTATTATAAATATCAAATGGAAGAGTTCTTTCATGAAATTCCAACGCAATAATGAAGAAGAAACAGTTGTTATTTTGAGAGTACAAAACCGTTATGGCATGAATGATTCTGCTGAGTCACACATTAATCTCAGTCATGAAATCCTACTTAACTTCTCTTCAAGGGCACAAACTAGTGCTATGAACCAAACCATTTTATGCTTCTGTGTTCCTAAGAGATATAATCAGAAGAAGGAACTTACAGACATTGCTGGTGTAGCTTTAAACTGAAAAGAAGTTAATGACCCTTCTTGTGTGGAAATGAAAGCCTCTATGCAACAAAAGGAAGAGAGTATAGTGTGTTGTGGTGTGTTCACTCACCCTTGGCCTTAGCCTTTAACTTCGATCAAAGTGCTGATGCTGTTGTTAATTGGCTAACAAAAACTATGTGAAGGGTCTCTTTTAAACAGTTTGCTGAAAAAGGGTCATTGGGTTTTGAAACCTCAAATGGGTGCACAGTATAGTATATTCACGCGTGGAGTGAGGCAAAACATAAGCGTGGCTCCCTCTCTCTTGCGCTCCCCAATTTTGAGGCACACACTCTCTCCCTGTCTCCATTGACTTGCCACCACCTATGGACCACACTCTTGGCAACAAAATTTGAACATCTCTGAGTGGAATGATGTAAATGGTAGACACCACTGATGGATTCCTCACCTTTTCTCTTTTCTTTGTTGGACTTGTACACACCATGATGCTAGCTGCATAACGTTGTGGTGGTGTAGGACCTTACTTGTAAACTAACCAAGGTGCATGGTGGGTAACATGTAATTAAGATGTATAGATTATAATGTTCATCCCTGTGAAAGAATCATTACTATTTCTCTTTACTATTTTAACAATTATATATATATATATATATATATATATCATAGGTATCAAGTGATGTAAAAGAAAGAAAAATTAAGATTTATCGTTAAATTTTATCATGGCTAATCTATACAATATCATGTAATTCTTTTAAGGAATTATGTATTTTGAAAAGATGATTTTAATGTATTCCTTTTACTCTTAAATAAAATTCGATTAATGATATTACATTAACATTCATGTTATCAGTATAATGATTTGAAATGCATAGAACTTAATTTACTATTATGTTAAAAATGTAAGCGCACCCTTAAACTCCTCTTGGTGCGAGCTCATTTGTTTGGTTATTTTCAGAAAAAAAAAAAAGCTTCATTAAAATTTAAAAAAGTTTCAAGTATTTTATTATGAAAATAACATCTTTTAAGATAATTTTGAAATATTATTTAAAATATATTATTTTTTTAACATTAAAATTTTGAAAAGTTACATTTTAAAATAATTAGTATTTGCTATTTGTTTGACTACCTGTCAAAAGCACTTTCACAATTGAAGCATAAAAGGCAAATAAGGATCTTCTGTAGTAAAGCTGATTTCATATGTTCCTCACAACGAGTTTCTTTACACAGAAGGTATCATTCTTGCATTAAAACTTGACACAAAAAGAGTAAAAAAATACCAGAAATCAAAGAATGAAGTGCTTTGTTGAAATTCTGCATACATAAATCTTCATCCAATCCAATGAAATGTAACTCTTCAGTGTTTGACATACCCATTTACTAGATATTATTGTGCATATACAATATTTTAAACATTAAATCATAATATATGTTGTATTTTTTTTTAAGTGGAAATATATGCATTCTCACTTATGAGAGATTGTTCGTGCATTGTGTCAGATAGCATATTTAAGAAACTCAACTATCTACTAATACTGACTGATAAACCTTATTGGTAAAGGAATAATGCTTTGTTATCTTTTTGTGTTCACAGAACAATTTCTCTGTGAAAACCATATGCTCTTGCATGTGATGAAAGGAGTGAAGTACACATGAAAGATGATGAAGAGTAAATTTCATCATGTTCAAACCATTAACCTGCATAAAGAAGTCATGAAAACAGAGAACAGTATGTGTATAGATGGAAGGACTAGACATATTTTAAAGCAAACACACTTTACAGCATAAAGTTGGGGAGTATCCAGCACAAGCTCAGCTAGTTACTCTTGGACCAAGGAGGACCTGAGCCAACTTGGCAAAGTCTGCTTTACTACTGAACATTCAAGAAGCAACTCAAAAGTGTCTTTTTAGTTCTTCACAAAAGCATAATGGATTATAACATGATCTATGATCTCATCTTTTATATATTTTTCGTAACTTTTTCTTTTATACACATCTCATTGATGTTATGAAGTATAACTTCTAAGGTTTTAACCATGACCCTTCTCCAATTTCACCTTTCATAGCTATTATAGGATCTCACTATTTAGGTAACTGAGAAGAAATGTTTGTGATTTAAAATGAAATTAAAAAATGAAAAATTTTCAAGTCTGAACTCATGGCTACTTTATTAAGTATTGATCAAATATTTAATTTTTCTAATTTTAATTGGAAATAATATCAGTCTCTTTCATCTGTTAAAAAGTAATTCTTCAAAAAATCAATATTTAGTTTTTAAATTTAAATTTAACACATCATTAATGTAAATATATTTACACTTTTATGTAATTAAAACAATTATAAACGTAAGTTTTAAATTAATTATTATAAAGTTAATAATTATAATAGTAACAACGTAAAACATACAATAAAAAATAATGTAAGAGGTATTCACATTCTCACTTTATCCAACTTTATATATATATATATATATATATATATATATATATATATATATATATATATATATATATATATAAAAGATTATTTAGTTTTGATCTTTCAAATTCTAATTATATCAACTGGATTCTTATATTTAATAGTTAGTTTATTATGACATTAATAAGATGAAACAAAAGTAAGGTTCTTTCAATCTAAGTTTGATAGTAATGTTGCACAATTTCATTAAAAATACTATTAATATATAAAAATATCTTTTATGTTCTTCCATCAAGATGAAAATTATTTCTTTTAGAAACTAATTTTTTAAGCTTTCCAACAAAATTATTGAATAATGTTCTAATTTTTTTCACAATCTTCTAGAATATTTACTTTATGTTTTTACTATATATATAAAGTAATTCAAATAAATTTTTCATTAAAACACAATAAAAAATAGTGAAACAATTAAAAGAAGTTGACTCGTATACTAATGGCACCATTGTTTCATTGGAGGGATTAATCAAGCTTAAATTGATTTTGGGCTTTTGGCCCAAAATGTATAATCAAATGCCCAATAAGAGTTACCCATCAGCATCTCTCGGACCACAAACTGTTATTTCGAATTACCAGTCACCCTTTTAATAAAAATAAATAAGAATAAATCTCCTTCATTGGATAAGGCTTTTTCTTCTGTTGTTGGTGGAACAATCTTGTATGGTGTAACAATGGCATCCTCAGTTACTTCCTCATTTCGTATCAGGTCAAGATTCTTACTCTCTCTTTATCTTCTTTGCTTCACTTATGCCACTTTCCTTTCTTAATTCCCTCTGTTTTGGAGCACTTTTGGTGTTACATTGCAATGCTCAACAACAGTTATGTGGTTGTCAAGGGTTGCATTTGATGAAAGAATAAACACCCTTTACGGGATTCAGCTACCTTTATCGTGGCATAATACGAAGTTTAAACTTTGAGAAAGACCACTATTCTGAACTCACTGTTTCACCATGTGAATGTGGTTTTCTTCCACTTGAATGGTTCTGAGTACCTCAAGTCTCAATTGGGTCTATGGCTGAAGATATCGTGGGCCTTCAGTTGAATCTGGTTTCCAAAATGATTTACTTGTGGATAATGATAACAATGATAATAATCTTGTGAATCTGTGCATGGAATTCAGTGAAGTGGGTGTTGCATTGAGGATGTTTGATGAAATGCTTGTTAGTGGTATAGTAGGTATTTGAAGAATAATGATTATGAGTGTGATTTTTTACCTTGCAAGGGACAAGTGCAGACTTGAAGAAAAGTTTAATGAGCATGCTAAGTAGTCCAATGGGGAATTCTTGATGAAATCATTAGTTGGGAATGTAAAAGTAATAATGCTTCTACTATTAACAAAAAGAATTTTGAGAGATTATTCTTTGTGCCTACTTCATTGATTGCTTTTATACAAACATGTTGATGTGAAGCATGCGTCATGTTCAATTTGGATGTTGCACTTTACTTTTCCTCAAAATTGCATTTTGACATGACTACAAGGCTATGAAGCGAAAAATAACTCCTAAATTTTAGGGAAATGTCTAATTAATTTGGCCTTGTTAGAAGAACTCTTGTTGTTTGTTTCTCTAAATTTTTCTTGTAATGTGTTCATAAAGATTGATATAATTCTTGGGTGATGAAATTTTCCTTTAACTCAGTAAATGTTCTGTAGGATTGAGAAATCTCACTAGTTGTTTGCTGTCTTATTTCAGTAATTTGAAGTCTGCTTTTGTGGGTGAGACAAATAAGCTCAGAGTTTCAGGTGTTTCTGGTGCTCAGGTTGGTTTTGTTAGAAAGACTATAGAATGTAAGGAATCACGAATCGGTAAGCAACCAATTAGTGTGCCATCAAATGTTACAGTCAAATTGGAAGGACAGGATATTCAAGTCAAAGGTCCTTTGGGAGAACTTGCATTAACTTATCCTCGAGAAGTGTTGGTTGAGAGGGAAGAGTCAGGGACTATAAGGGTTAGAAAGGCAGTTGAAACCAGAAGAGCCAATCAAATGCATGGGCTTTTTAGGTACTTAATTTTACTGACCTCTTTTTAAAATTAGGATTTGTGAGTATTTTAAATTTCCATTTTATCTCAATACATGCTGATTACCTCTGCACCTGTCTCATTATTTCAAAACTATTTTCTAAACACACTGAGATGAAATTGAAAAAAAAAAAAAAAAAAAAAATCTTTGATTTGATAATAGGAAATAGGATATGTTACTGCGTTGCATAATGTACCAATGTTTGTGGTGTAATGATAATAGTAAATTTATAACCTGTTGTTCATTTGTTCATGTTGCTCTGTGATTACTCATGGCAATAAATTATTGGAGCTAGATGTTGGTAGTTAGTATTGTGTTAATTACTTAAAAGACGAGACTTGAAAGTATTGATACAGAATGGATGACTTGTCAATTAGGCGATGTTATTTTTAATCATGATAATTTAGTGGTTTATGTTGATTATGCTATGGGGATTTTGTAATCTTGAATGTCTTTGATAACTTATTTGTTTTTCATGAAACTGTTATTCGATTCTAATTTCGTATCTGATTAGTTGGAACCCTGATAGTTCTTATTCTTCCCCTTTTACTACTCCCTTCTACAACAAGCAGTAACTAATTGAAAACTTCCATTTTGATGGTTTCCTTACTCTTTCCCCCCAACTTCCCTCCCCTTTCTGGCCATGTCTGTAATTCGGTGAAAAGCCTGTGTTATTTGCAGCTTTTCATAGCTGGGGGTGATGGACATTGATCTCACTTTCAGCGCAACTAACTTTTACAATTAACCCTTGGTAGTTCAGAGATTGGTTATTTCTTGTTATTGAACTTGAGATATATAGTAGTGTCCCAAAGGATTTTAGTTAGACTTATACTTGCATTTGTGAATAGTCTTCAAAATATTCAAATTTGTGCAATACATTTTGCAGTACTCACTTTTTGTTTGTCGTTGGGGGAAATGAACTGTTGTTATCACGTTGCTTGGAATAATGCTATTATTGATGTTCATCTTCCTCAAGTGATCATTCCATTTCAAGTATGAAACCTTTTCTTGTATGAGTAGAATCACCTTTGAAAGCTTAATTCCTAGAAATATCAATCATAGTAATATTTCTGTTGTTCATGTATTCATATTTGACTCTTATGTTGTTCACAAATAAATGTTATAGGACGCTCACAGACAACCTGGTTGTTGGAGTTTCTAAAGGTTTTGAAAAGAAGCTTCAGCTTGTTGGTGTCGGTTATCGTGCAATGGTAGAAGGAAACGAAGTCGTACTGAATCTTGGATTTTCACATCCTGTCAAGATGGCAATCCCTACTGGTCTCAAAGTGAAGGTGGAAGAAAACACCAGAATCACAGTTAGTGGGTTTGATAAATCTGAGGTTGGCCAGTTTGCTGCTTCCATTAGGAAATGGAGACCCCCAGAACCATACAAAGGAAAGGGTGTCAAATATGCTGATGAAATTGTAAGAAGAAAGGAAGGAAAAGCAGGGAAGAAGAAGTAACGGGGGATTCAATTTTATATTTTCATTTATCTCCTGTTGTTTCTTTTCATTTGTTAGTAATGGAAATGTTATATATACCAAGAAAAATTCATATTCTTTGAGATAAAGCTTGAGTCCCTTACGCCTATGATGATGATATTTAGTCGCATAGCCATCATGAACTGTGATTATAGTGTGATAATAACTGTTGATGGATAATCTATCATCATGGTCAGAATTTTTTGTTATCTTGAGGCAAATCTCAACAATAGCACTGAGGGTAGCTGTTCAACCTAAAAAATGCAAGCTATTGACGGAAAAATTTAAGGATGGCAGCTCAATAAGGATCTAGATTTGGTGGGTTACCTTTTTTCTAGCCTTTACTTTCTTCCTTAATTATTTTTGGTAGGGTGCCTTTTCTTTTTGGGGTAAAAGAGGTCACCTTCTTCTTTAAGGATATATAATGGTTTAACCAAGAGTCTATTAGAAGAAAAGCACATACTTTTTAATACAAGATAATGATTGAGATTATTGATGTTTATCTGAACAACATTTTAAACATTTAATGGATTAAATTGAGATGCAACTCTAAAACATTCAAAATTATTTTCAAACTTTTTTTTTCTTCAAACCTACTTAATTAATTCTAATATTTTAAGGAATACCCAAAAATAAGACATTCTAAGATTTTTTTTTCAAATCTTTATATTCATGAAAATTGTATTTTTAAATTATTTTATCTCTGTTTATGTTTTCATTTTCAAATAATTTAATTTAATTTTTTGTTTCTATATTTTCTTGAACCTTTTTAATTCTATAATGTCAAATGAATTTAAGTAGATGAAAGATAATAAATTATTGTGAGAAAATACTTGGCTAAAAAATTAGTTTTATTTATAATTTATATTTATTCAATTTTATGATATGTCATATGTTTTAATTTTATTATTTTTATTTATCATATATCAAATTTTATTTTAATAAAATAATTATATTTTAAAGAATTAAAAAAAATTAATAATTTAAACTTTTATTACTTCAAACTAATTAAATAAGAATTAACTTATTATAAACTATATATTTCATATTTTTAAATAACATCTTAAAACTGAATTAACTTATTTATTTATTTATATATATAATCAAATGTTTGAATATATATAATAATAATATTATTATTATTATTATTATTATAAATATTTATATATATATATATATAAATAATTAAATATTTCTTTTACATATATATTTTAATATAAATATAATAAATTAAAATATATATTTAATTAATAATTATAAATTATAAAATTATAAATATTTATTTATATATAAAAAATACATAGTAAAATTAATGTATTATAAATGTAATTATCTTTTTAAAAATAATATAGGTTGGGGACTGGAAACCTAAAACCTAGCAGGGACGAAGATGAAAACTTAATTTCTAACCTTAGCGGGGATCGGAGGCAGAGACATGGATGGTTAAAAAAGTTGGGGGAGGAAATCTGGGAGGTAAAACCCGCCCCCACCTAGTCCCGTTGTCATTCCTATTTTAGACATCAAGCACAATCCTTTAAGATTTTATTACACAATTTCCTTCTAAAACATGTCATACATAATCCAAATATAACTAATATATCCTAACATTTCACACTTATCCTTCCACACATGATTAATCTAAATCAACACATACAATCACAATTTTTGATATAATATGAACAATAAACTTCTTACAATTCAAAAAAAAAATGATCAAGTCATCGTCACAATTCAATGCATCTATCCCAAGGTGTTAATGAATTTATTACTAGCATTCCTTACCTCAATTTCACATTTTCTTATTCCAGTACTATAAATGTCTCTAAACTCATAAAAAGTAAGATTCTACTCATGAAAAATTCCAATTAACAAATCAAACATATCATAATTTTTCTGAATTAATCAAGATTTATCTTTAACCCGACAAAATTTACATGTAGAATAATAAACCCACATATAAACTTTAGTTTTAACTTATAAGAAAATACTTTAAAATTGAGTAAAAAAACTTATTTTATTTAAAATTATGATAAAATGAAAATGTTCATCTCATCATTAAGAATATAACAATGTGTTTGTATAAAAAAAAAAACTGAGTGAAAAATTTTTAGAAAAAAAAATTAAAATTTAGAAAGATAATTATTATTTAGAAATGAAATTTGAAATATAAAAAATTTCTAATTTAAACTGTTTTTATACAGATAAAGATTTTAAACTTTATATGAGTCAGATTTTAAAAATATTTTGATATGATTTGACATACTAAATTATCTATTTAAAAATACTATTCAATAGAAATTTAAATAATATAAAATGAATTACATAAGAGGAAGAACAAAAAGTGAGTCTTTGAGTTTTGTTTTTACTCATTTCATTTATTTGTATGTCAGTCTTTTAGAAAGTATGGAGAATTTAATGTTTTTGGAATCTTGTTTCATTTTTCTCCGTTTCCTTTTCAATGGTGACCTAATTTATTCACACGCTCACTATTTCACTCCTCTACTCCACATATTTGATAAAATATAAAATTGTTTATATTAAATTTTATGTAGTTTTAATTTAACATCAAATACGAATGAAAATAAATTAATATTTATAATTTGATGTGGATTATGGTGTGATTTTCGTAATTATAATTTATTAATATTATAAAAATTATTAAATATTTTATAATGAATATTTTTAAATTAAAAAGATATATTATAATATCTTATATTCATAATTTTAATTTTTTATATTTATAAATAAAATGTACATTTTTATAATTAAAAAATTAATAAAAAAATTTAAATATAAATATAATCAAATCATAAAACAATCTTAAAGAAAAAAAAACATAAACGTCTACAAATATAATATCAAATCGAATTTCGTTTTTTATTAATTTAATTCATAATATTCTAAATATATATATATATATATATATAATTTTAAACTGATAAATTAATATCTCTAATTATATAAATAGAAAAGATTAATATTTTTATAAATATTTTATTAAAATTAATAATAATTAAAAATTAAATTTGTAATATTTTAGACTTAAATTTTCAGCTTTTTATTAAGATTAGAAAGATTAAAAAAAATGATGTATTCATGCACATTTTTTTACATTAATAACATTTGTTGTAGAAATTGTAACAACTTAAGTCTTTATTTTGTTTTTTATATATAAAAATATATTAACCTGTGGTTATGCTAAATAAATTTAAATACTCAAATATTAACCAATTCATAAATGAAATTAGTCTCCAATTTTCATAGATGAATTTTTCTTTATTTATATGTTGATTATTTGATTGATAAATAATAAAATTTAAGAATAAAATAAAATAACAGCTTATGCATTATTTATTTCTTTAGCCCATAAAATGGATTACATATGAGGAAGAACAAAAAGTCAGTCTTGAGTTTTGTTTTTACTCATTTCAGTTTTCTAACCCATAAAGTGGAGAAGACTAAGAGTATGAAGAATTTAATGTGTTTGGAGTCTTCTTTCATTTTTATGCATTTCCTTTTCATTGGTAACCAAATTTTCTAACCCATAAAATGTGGACAACTAGATAAAGTCTTTATAGGTTATTACTTTCATATTTATTGCTCACTATGCTTAATTTTATGCATATTTATTGTTTCAACCCAAATTTTTTTCTTCCAAATAAACATACTAAGTGCCCATATATTCACAAAATAATATTATGTGTTTTTTAATTCAATTTCTTGCTTTTTAATTCAAATTAAAATAGACAAAATCATAATTGTTTTCAAGCAATATGATAATGACAATATTTTGGACAAATATAAACCAAATTTTGACAAAAACTTTAAAGGCAATGGCTTGGTCTAACAATGAAATATGAACATGTGAGTGTGAGAGTGAGAATGAATGGCTAAGACTGTTAATTTTTAAATTTATTTCAATATTAATTTTAAAAGTTAATTCTTAGCTTTCAGTTCATGAAATCATGTTTAAAGAAAAATATTATAAGTGATGGATGAATATAATTTATTGTAACAATTATTTTGGTTAAAATAAAAATTATTTATTTAAATGTATGATCTTCATTTATTTATTTCTTACATTTAACTATTTATACCCAGACTTTTAAAATGAAAAATTATGATAGACCATAAATTACGTAGCTCCTGGGCATTTAAGTTGATATGAAGATAGAACTTATGTTACTATTAAGAGCTTTTGGGATCATGAATTCCTCCATTTTCATTATTCTGTTTCTTCATCTTTGGTTATTGACGTTACGTATGGTTGCATGCAGAGAGATATTATGCATTGAAAGTGAGGGAGAGACACTGTTGAAGTTGAAGCGTCATCTTAAAGATCCTTCAAATAGGCTCTCTTCTTGGAATGCATCTGCCATTTCCCGTTGTTGCCACTGGTCCGGTGTTCTCTGCAGCAACATCACTGCCCACGTCACAGAGCTTCACCTCCGCACTTCATATCTTGCTTTCGATGATGGTTATGAATTCGATGAAGAAGCTTATACTAGATCTCAATTTGGTGGAGATATAAATCCTTGTTTGGTTGATTTGAAGCATTTGAATTACTTGGACTTGAGCGGCAATCATTTTGAAAGTATGCCAATTCCTTCTTTCCTTCCAACAATGACTTCCTTGACTCATCTCAACCTTTCTAATGCTGGATTCATGGGGCCGATTCCTCCTCAAATTGGGAATCTCTCCAACTTGGTGTATCTTGATCTGGGTTATGTAGCCAATGGAACAATTCCCTCTCAGATTGCAAATCTCACCAATTTGCTCTACCTTGATCTCCGAAGATATTATTACAAAGAAAAAGCTTTATTTACTGAAAATGTTGATTGGCTATCAAGTCTTTCAAAGCTTGAATATCTTGACTTGGGAGGTACAAATCTATCCCCATCATTCCATTTCTTTCACATTCTCCAAACTCTTCCTTCCTTGATGCACCTTCATTTGTCACGATGCACACTCCCTCTCTATAA